CATGTTTAAGTGTGAGTCAGAGTTTCATATAATGGAACAATTCTGGATGTTTACCGAGTTGTACTGAAGACGGTGTTGAGCCAATCAGAATGGCAGGCTAGTGAGGGGGTTGGATATCCCAGTGAGAGAAGCCCCCCCCCCAGAAAACCAAACAAGTCTTGTCAGCCTTTTGTTAATTATGGACAATCATAACTGAAAGGCCTGAGCTGGCAGGGATTTGCAGTCAGTGCTGGAAAAAGGAAATAAAAAAACTCCTATTGATCCGAAAAATTCAAGCATCCTCCTCTCAAATTCCAGCCATGACTCAGATCTGAAGGAACAACAACAGCAACAGCCCTTGTAGGATAATCAGAGTACTCAACCCCCCAGCACCATTTCCCTTCCTGCACTGGATTCTTTTTGTATTCAGGGACACTGTGTGAGCTTCAGGGTGGGTTAGAAGCAGCGTCTGACCTGTACGGCCCGTTTTCAGCGCTCCGCACCAATCATTCTTTCTCTGAGCACTGCTAGAATTACATTTACTCAGGTGAAAATTCAGGAGAGGGTCGTCTTAGAATTATTACATAGGGGGGGCAATATCTAGGTGAGTATGACCAGGGGGCTGAGATTGCACTCAACATTGGAGACGTTACAAAGAAAAAAAAAATAGCTTTTCCATTTTTGTCATCCATCGTCTGGGCTTTGCTTTGCATAAAAAAAAAAACAAAAAAAACAGAGAGGTGAGAAGGTGTGGCTGGGTATGCACAGCCCTCCTCATCTGCGTTAAGCGGATATCGGAACCGTGTAAAGTATAAATAGACAAAGCACAGCAAATGACTGGCATATGTATGGAGGAGACTTTAAATGGGCTTAAAATATCCTGATTTTTTGGCACATTTTGAAGATGGTGTAACTGGCCGATTTCAGCGCGGAAACGAAACGGCGCTGAGTCATGAAGGAGAGGTCTTGCTCAAAAAAAGAGGGACATGTAGCTGTTGACAATATTGATAAAACATCGAGGAAAGGTGGCAAAACAAAATTAAATTACATTAATGGATTATCACCATTGTCTCTGTACTTTCAATGTTAATTGCTGGCGGAGTTATATTTAAAATCTGGACCTATAATTTTGGCAATCTTAAAAACACAGAAGAGTGAATTAGCTGACTGGCAACACACAGACATGCATGCACACACACACACACACACAGATGCACACACACAGGTTTGTAATTACATATTTGGGGGGACTCTCCATTTATTTCTATGGGGAAAACTCTAATTTCAATATGACGATCTTAACTCCTACTCTAACCCTAACCCTAACCGTAAGTATACAAAAAGAATATGACACTTTCGGTATTTTTACTTTTTTGATTGCATTCACAGAGCTTTGTGGGGACCTGAAAAATGGTCCCCATAATGTAAAAAAAACAGGATTTTCTTACATTGTGGGGGACAATACATAAACCTAATCCACACACACACACACACAACATCAAATGCACAAGGATGGAACATTGAATTTAAACTGGATGCAAGCTATAAAGAGGAAATTAGCACTGAAGTCTGACTACCATAAGCAGAAGATGAACCATGAACGTTGTCTTCCAATGAAAGAAATCTGACATAAAAAAAGCGGGCATCAGGTCTCCTGGACGTATATCACGGTAAAGTTTTGATAGCTAATGTGCTGCATAAGTAGCACTCCAGCACAAGAGCAGTAAACCAGGAGAGCCCCAAAGACTCGTGATTACGACGCGCACGTTAACCTTTCATCTACATCGCTGGTCATACATCACTGCTCCTACTTTTCCACCTTAATTTTAATTTTTTTTTTCATGTTGAGCCACCAGGGGGTATTGTCCTCACAGAAACCTTCCGGAAAACACCATGTCATGTGTTTATGAAGGGTAATAGCCTGATTGGCTCTCATCAAGAGAGCTGCCGCAGCGACCTAAAGTGTCAATTGTGTCAAAAGTGTGACATATAAGTGGGCTTGGCCCTGATACCCTTTTCAGTGACAGTGGTTATCGATGGTATTAAACTACACAACACAGACGAGAACATATAAAACACGCAGACCGCCATACATAAAGGGTCAATGATTCTCAGAAGGTAGAAGCACATGTCTGTCTGCTCACTAGTGAAGGATACTTCCTTAAGCTTGAGATTGTTAGCTAGCTATGTGTAAATGTTACCGGTCTAAGTCAGAAAGCCCTGTATTCCTGTAAATGATTAAACGCAGCAGGGAACTCGGTACCCCCCAGTAACTGTTGCAGTGAATCAGCTTAAAGTCGTGAGCCAACTAAGGTTCAATAAAATGCATTTCAACCCAATGAGTTCATGTATTGGTGACAAAACTACTTCTGCAGGCTGCAGAGCACTTACACACACATGCATGTGTTCACAGAGAGAGAGAGAGAGAGAGAGAGAGAGAGAGAGAGAGAGCGAGAGAGAGAGAGAGAGAGAGAGAGAGAGACAG